GGGTGTTTTTGGGGGGGGGGGGGGGGGGTGAGAGCACCTTGTTTTCTGCAGTTATGTTCCATATTAAGAAATTGGAAGATGCAAAACCAACTGCATAGTTGCCAACTGCTGAATTGTCAGAACAGTTGGTGGTTGAGAAGATTGATCGGACTACACTTAATTCTTTCACTTGTTTCATCCCTATAAATTCCAAACTGAGCAGATCTCTATCATGCTGCAAATAGCATATGCAACCATCTGCTCCAGTCTGCAGGTAAAAATGAATTGGGAAAAATTAAATTAAGCAGTGACATTGGTCTGTTTTGTAAGAGCACTCCGTTAGTTTTTCGTCAGCAAAATTATACAGAGAAATAGAGCTCGTATTAAGAATATCAGAATCAGACCATACCGAGTGTATTTCAACTTGACCAGAACAAAGACTGACAATTGATACACTGCATACACTTGATATTCCATGAGCTCCTTTGAAATAGTTCAATGGAGATGCTTTGACTTCTGCAGCAACAGAAGTGCCCAACAGTAGGACTCTTGGTAAAGAAAAAAGTATCAGATTACCGCGTATGTCCCCACATGCTAGTACCTGTAGGCAAATAAATAATCTTGAGCATTATTTCCAAATGAATTTGAAATTATTTTTTCTCCCTAAACTGGGGAAGGCTACGCACATTAGTTCTCAGAGTAGAAATTATCGAAAGCATAAGTGCAAGTATTAATCATTTTTTACATGCATATCCATCGAATGGTTGATTCTCAGAAATAACCAGCACCAAGTGAAAGTTAATATACTCAATTCAGAACATGGTTCATGTCAACATGAACAATTATTTTTCTACAGGCTTTTACTGTTAAAGAATGAATTTGAAAAGAAGCAAAGTCACCAAACAGGGAGAAAAAAATAAAAATAAATACAACTTGTAAAAATAGTTCAAACATTTTGCTAGTTATTTAGGGTACTAAAAACAAGATACTAGTTGCACCATCGTGGCATCCTTGGGGTGTTGGCAGTCCATCTTTTGGTTGACTGTACCATTTTCTAAAGAAAGAAATAAACTAGTCTTAGAAGAAATCAGTAGAAAATATCTGGTAAGATCCTGCTGATTTACTTCTATAATGTAAGAACACAATAAAAATTGTAGCAAATTGTATTTATATTTTCTGTGCTAAATGGATAACTGAATTGAAATTGAAATTGAAATGGATACAAGAAAATGTTGAACTTTTGAGAGGTTCAACTCTCTCACCACAATAATTTCCATTTTATGAATATCCCAAAATGAAACTATCTTCCCCTATTTATATATCACCTGCCTATACTACTAATTCTTCCAAATCCCCATAATATCCCCAATGTAAATAAAATTTGAACAAACCCTCACGATACCCCCAACTTAAATAACAATTGAACTAGCTACTGTCAAATATATTGAATAATACTTAAGACTCGATGCCTCTCAATATGAGAGGTTCTCTCATTTTATAGAACCAAATCAAACTAAATATGATAAACACCAATTACAATATTCATTAATTGTAACCTACTAAATATAAATATTGATACTTTATATTCCTTCCTTATATTCCATTGACATTCCCCCTCAAATTGATGTTGGTAAAAACATTAATTTGCAATTATGAACTGAAAGCTTGTGCCCACATCGACGAAAAATAGTGACGACAAGAGACTAAGAAGAAGTGACTACTCCAAAACCACTTCAAGAACACTCAAAAGCCACTCCAGAGAGCCCACTCCCCAAGAAGAATTTCAAAAAGAAATTCACGAAGTGTACCTACACACGCAGTAAGCTCTATCTGTCGGGAGAACTCAATCGAACTCAATCAAACTCATACATAATCTGTATTATGACAAAAGCTCTAACACCAAAATTTCAACAATATATCATTGACAAAAGATGCTGCAGTTGGAAGAAATCCCACCAAACAGACTATACCAAAAATTCAAAGACGATCCTCCTCTAAGGATCCCAAAAAAAAACTCTAGCTCATCATTTGAGCAACAAAAACTCAATAGTCTGCACTCTCATGTCTCTCTCATCCCTATGACCCATCAATATGATGCACAATTTATAGCCTAATAGCTCACAACCCATTTACAAGTTATGCCCTCATGTCCAAAAGCCAAGTCCGCTTTCAACTAATCCATAACCTATTCACCAAATAATAACAAAGCCCAAACTAGCAAAGCAGCCCAAGAAATAAATCTCCAACACAAAATAACAACCCAACTAAATTCTCACAACCCAAACACAATCAAAACTAATCCCATAAAATAAAACCTAAGCCCAAGTAATCAAACCAAATACCAAGCCCATATATTGATAGCCCATTAAACAGAAACCACACCCAACCTATAACCCATACATCTAGCCCATACATCATTATTGCTTTCCACCTACCCCAACCATCGACGTTTTCTTCTTGTCGGCCAACCAATCAAATTGTTCGCATTGGTTCTTCACATCTATATGACACCCAGTCAGATCACAACTCTCTTCTCCAGACCCTAGCCAACCCGTGCCATTGACTACCACATATTGTTAGCAAAATAAAATCCATTCCAATGTGCCGTTTGCCCCTTTCTCCCGCTCCGAGAAGCTAGGCCACATAACCGACTAGACGTGTTCACTCATGAACTAGGTAAAAGCAAGGCCACCACGCATCTGATTCTATGGTGCTATTCAAAAGAAAAGGAAAAAGAGTTAGGTAATTTTTGAAGCACAAGGGTTTGCTATTCAAAAAACAAAAACTCAGGGAGATTCTGAAACCACCCTATTTAAACCATGGCGAATTTGGCGATGGCTAATGGAGCATTGTGGTGGTGGCGGGTTGACTAATTAAAGTGCCACCACGGGTCCGATTCTGCTTTTGATTTCTCTTGCGATGACTCATTTGCTACTCTTGCCGCTGATGAGGACTCATCTTTCCGCCATTTTGACCTCTGCCAGGTCCCACCACCACAACAGTTATAACCGCCAAATGTTTAATTCACGGTGGCCCGTTAACCCCCACCACCCTTTTCATCCACTAATGATCGATGTGGCATCACAAGTAATCACTGCCTCTTATCATCTTATCTCATTTGAACCAGTAGAAGCAGATTGAATAATCAAGTTTGAAAATTTAACTGAAACAAGAAATTTTAACCGGACGATCGGTACGGGGCCGCTCGCAGAAATTAAACCCTCTCTAATACGATATCAAATATATTGAATAATACTCAAGACTCGATGTCTCTCAATATGAGAAGTTCTCTCATTACATAGAACCAAATTAAAACTAAATATAGTAACTATCAATTACAATGTTCATTAATTGTAACCTATAAAATATAAATATTGATACTTTATATTCTTTCCTTATATTCCACCGACAGCTACTAATATGGGGTTCTATCAATATTATGTTAAGGAAACATGACCTCTTCATCAAAAGATGCATCCACACACAGTATCCGCATTCCAAAGCATGAGATGAATTCTGCAATTAGGCACACGTCACAACTCCTTGATCCACTGACAGCACTAAATTGCAAAGTGTGCCCTAATCTCCATAACTTCAAGCTACCTCCAGGACTAACAGTGAAGATGAACCTGCGTATAAAAATTACTTGGGATGTTTCACTACTTTCAATATATCGAGCATATATACACATGCTTGTTTCTATCTCTTTTCTGACCAAGCATCTGTATGTATGTATAAAACAATTGCTTTGAGAGTTTGGACTTAATTTATAGTATCTGATGCTAAGCTGCTATAATTGTAGTTGTACTTGTGATCCGATCATCAATTTGATAAAAAGAAAAAATATATATATAAGATTACTTTTAGAGCCAAAAAGAAAAGATGATTGCCATCTCATATTCTGGTTGCAATGGAACTCTATTACCTATTTCCTAGTGACTTGCACCAATAAGTGCCCAATAGATGTCTTCCCTTTTCAGCAGACCAGGTGTAAACAAATTCAACTTTTGGGTTCCGAGCACCACAAACAATTTGGAGGATTGCCATACTTCCCTTACCATCTCCAACAGCAACCCAATCTTCAACTTCATCAGAAAAGTTTGAACAGTTTGATAACAAGTCCATACAAATGATTGGCGCCTCCTCACTGATGCGGATAAGTTCAGTCCATTTGAAGGCACCATTATCAAATAGGCCAAGATGGTACAGGTAACCTTTGTTAGTGGCAACATAGAGAGAATCTTCACGTGAGAAGTGTAAACAGCGGACATATTCACTTTTGCTGCAAGAAGGCAAAAAAGGTTAGCAGGGCTGGAAAAAATACTGTATAATAGAAGTGGAACAAGTTAACTTGCAGAAAGTTATCAGAGCTACGCATCATGTATAAATTATATGACTGGTTGAAGATCCTTATACAGATCAAGTAAACAGGGAAATTGACTCAAATGGGAGAGTTTTCTAGTTGTATGTATTATTATATCCCCCCAGGAAAATCTGTTTCGTCCAATGTCAAATATAAAGGTCCAAGACTATTTCAGGTCCTTGCTGAGTAAGAGTTGTGGAAGGATAAATTGCACAAAGAATTTAAACCTTGGCAAAGTACACACCAAAACAGCAGCCCTCATACTCAAAATCACAAGGTAAAAGCCCTAAGCTGATGATATATTTATTTATTTTCATTGTTTCCGGTATTGACACATAGACCCCGTTTGGCCCCCTTTTTCTTTCAATTTTTTCTTCCAATTTTTTCTTCCCGCTCTTATTTTCAACCACACAATCTCCCATAAAATATTATTACACATAAACCGAAAGCCTTTCCTTCTTTTTCAACCACACATTCTCCAAAAATACACTATTTCAAGTATTAACATTTGAAAGAAAGGGGGCCAAACAGGGGCATAGAATGGGACTCTATCTTTATTCTCGTTCGATTAATTAGTTCTTTAAAAGATCTATAAAACTATGGAGTGAATGAACATGAACAGATAAAGAAGCCATTGTAATTTTCCGTAAATACTAGGCCTACTAAAGGCACAAAATTACTAACAATGAGTGGCCTTGATTAATTCCCTTACCCATAAGTAGTAAAAAACATTTACAGCTGCACTTCCATGTGGCAAAATGGATCAAAGTCTTTTCAGCTGCATGAGAAATTGCAATGCACCAAACATCAAATTGGCACGTGAGATTTTGCTGAAATAACCATTACATCAGCTATAGTTGTCATTACTGAGATGCCATACTATTAGAATTAGAGGGACTGATCCTACTGGTGTTCCTAAACTACTAAGAAATTTCATAAAATTACTGCCTAGAGATTGCAATCCAGTTTGAGTTACGATTTCCAAAGTAAGATCTTGCACAAATATGGATAGGCAGACCTAAGTAGTGCATTTACTATCTTGCAGATTTATTCAGCATTTTTAACACAGAAGTTAACAGTAATAGTCAAACCGGTATGGTTCCATCGGATCCTCACATATTGACTTTCTTTTCCGGGTACTTTAAATAATAAAATTAATGAGACGTGAAATCCATAAAAATTGTGAAGTATATTGACAATGCGACGGTTGAAAAATTACCTGTCCATGAGGTCAACATGCTCTGAAGAATTGGGTATAAGCAGAGTAAAGGTTTCTTTTCTGTCAACGAAATCCTCTTCCCCCTTGCTCAGTTCTAAACCCTTAGAAGATTTATGAAGGTGAACTTTTATTGAAGAATCAAACCCAGCAGTAACAAGAAGTGAAGAGTGCGGATCATACAAACATCTCCATACTCCCCTCCCGCTGTAGAAGTAAAATAATAATACCAAATTACAGTACGATATCAAATACTGGCCAAACAAGTGCAAGATGCAAGCACAAACAGACCTTTTTCACCAAATCATAAACATAAAAGGCAGAGTTGTAGAGAAAACTCGAAAGCCACAACATAAACACTGTAAGTGAGATACAAATTGAATAAACTGAAAATAAATTGCGAAGTGAATGCTTTTCCAGCAGAAAATCTGTACTTCAATGGACAAACAAGAACTAAATCTTGAATTCTTCAACACAACTATGAAGTTTTTACAACTTACATATGCTCCCTGATCATATCAAGTTCTCTTCCATCAAGATCCCAAACTCGACATGTGCAATCCTCGCCAGCAGTGATGATTAACTGAGTAAAGGCCAATAAGCCCAAAAATAAAATAAAAATTTGTGAAACTAAAAATCTATTCCTTGTGTTTCACTTTCAAATGGTAGCTACTATATCATAAAATTAAGTAATAAAGGATATGTGCGCCTTGCATTATAGCTGAATCACATTATAGCATTTGCAAGTGACTGGAAACAAAAAAGTGCAACCTGAAGGGAAGAAGGACCAATTCATATATCCAAAAACTAGAACACAAGGCAATCTCATGTAGGATTGTTCCCAGGGAACTGGCTCTCTGAAATTTAATAAGTTCCAAACTCAGATGCATTCTTAAACTCAAACATTCTATCATAGCATATAAATAAAGCTACCAACCATACCTTGGCTTTTATTCACTTAACTTACTTCAAGAATCATTAAAAGAATAAATTGATCGATGCTAAAATTTCATGTATGGTTGCAATCAAGCTTTTGAAGCCAATAATTTGGTTTGGCCAGCCATGGCACCCCCAATCACTATATATGTTTCTGCTGGTTTTAAACTTAAAATGTTACCTACTGCAAACTGGTATTAAAAAGACAGAGAGAGATGCATACAACGTCATTCTAGAGCATGATAAATCATTTTGTACGTTAAATTTGAAAGCATTCGTTGCAATATATTGGCAAATGAGGAAGAATAAAGCAAGACCAAGAAACATTAACTCGATTCCAACTGGCGGAGATGCGCTAAAGATTAAAGTCTGGTCAGTAATTAGCTTAACCTTTGAGAAAATAATTTAGCCATTACTTCAGGCTACAATAGCATATATGTGACAGGTTAGCTCACAAGAAAAAGAATTAAAAGTAAGGACAAGAAGCAGAAGGTAAACTAACCAGAGAAAAAGAGTTATATCCTAATCACATACTCATTGTCCAATTTAATTTTTATTTTCAACATGCTACAAATACCATTTTACATGTGACCTTACCGAGTCATATATACAGCAGTCCCAAATTCTGGCATTGTGCCCAAACAGTACAGGGCCAGTCAAGTGATTGACACTGTCGTCTGTTAGGTTGTAGGAACTTGCTTTTTCAGAATGAATTTCCCAAATGCGAGCACTGCACTAATTAAGAGACCAATAATTGCATAGAAGCATGTTATAATGAGTTATCTGGTTACTCAAAAAGTTGGCTGATATGGATTGCCGACATTAATTACCTACGGTCATCAGAAACGGATACCAGTTTCAATCCATTAGGAAACCATGCAATGCGAAAGATTGAACCCTCGTGTCCTACAAGCCTACTTATAAGAACATCTGCATACTTCGGACCAGGAAGCTGGAAATCCACATCAATAATCGATTGCACCTTGTTTTCCACAGGATTTTCAAGGACTGTAGCATGATTCCAAGAAACCACTTTCCACACAATAATCTACCAAAACCAGATAGGACCAAAAAGAAAGATTGATGGTAAAAAGGAAAAACTTAAACTTGAGGCGAAGATGATAATGATATTATATCCTACCATTCCAATGGATAGGCAGAGAAGATATACTAGGAAAATAAAATGATAAAAAGGTAGTTTAGTGTGTTTGAGCCACATTCTTTTTGAAGAATGTATTTTGAAATAGTAGATTGATGGAGAATGTGTGGTTAAAAAAGAAGGAAAAGTTTTTTATTTGCGTGTAATATTATTTTAACGAATGAATACATGGTTGAAAAGACCCGAGAGAAAAATGTATTTTAGAAAAAATAAGAATCAAACACCCCCTAAGTTACCTCATTAAAGATTGTACCAGATGCGATAAGGAGTGATTCAACTTTATCCCCCCACATCCGCAAGGAATACAATAGGCACCTCTCTGAAAATTGCATTTGAAAAGAAATGTAAATGAGATAACATCTAGCACATGTACTCGAAGAAGCTAATCACCTCATTATACTAAAATTAATCAAACACGTGTTCTTGCAGGTTGTCAACTATTGCACTTTGGTTGCCAAGGGATATGAACTTATGTAACTACTAAGACTTTCTTAAGAGATTGAAAATGTGTTTCTTCATTACATTCGCCTTGGATAATTTGCCTTCTTGTCCATAATCAGCTAGTAAATATGTTGTTTCAAATGTTCATATTTTTAAACAGCTATATTAACACTATCTATTGAAATTTTATCACCAAGGAAAAGGAACGTCAATTGAAAAAACTAACCTGAGGATTTTACATCAGAGAACATATTACATCTAAAAATATCCCAGAAGCACACAGAGTTGTCGCTGCATCCAATTGCAAGATAACGGCTCCATTTGCTAGTAGTTGCACCGTCCTCCTACGATCAACAAATAAGACTACCATTTCAATCTACTTTGAAAAGCTCAAAAAATAGCAGAAGGAAATTTAAAAGAGTTTAGACCTTCAAGAAGCAAACATCCAGCACCCAGTGACCTACTTTTGGCAGTGCATGAATAAGACTTAGTGCTAAATGAAAACATGGAAACTGTTGGTTGTCTTGTTCAATTTGCAAATTAAAAAGCTTCACTCTCCTTTCTCCGAAAATGGCAATTCGTAATGTAAAAGCAGAGCCTGTCAGTTGTCTGAGAGAATTGTCCAAAGTGATCCCGTGAACTCGAATTCCATCAAAGACTTGAAAAGAGTTTATCATCTTTCCACTCGATAAATCGTACACCAGAATCTGTGAGCCGGTTCCTGTGAAGGGAAATGTAATTGTTATTTTCAAGAGTAACAAAAAAATAAGAGGCCGGGGGGCGGGGGGCGGGGGAGAGAGGATTAACCAGCTAGGAGGAAAGGAAGAGAGGAGAGATGAGGGGGAAGGTGGAGGAAACAGAGGGCAGAGATTTCTCCAAGGTAAGGGCCACGACGGAGTTGCCACTCTGCTTGCTCAGCCTCGCTCATGGCCACTGCAGCGGGAAAATAGAGTAGGGTTTCACCGCTGCGGGAATTCCCTTAAAAGCGAAAGGTAACTATCGGAGGAGGCGGCGTTCGCTAAAATCATCGAGCGCTTACCAAAAAGGAGTAACAAGGCGCAAAACAAAAGTGCGTGCGGTAAGCGTGGATCGAACACGCGACTTTCCGACATTCAGTCTGATGCTTTGCCAAATGGGAACATTTATCATAATTGCCATTCGCATACGAGAACCTCCGACTTCTTCTAGAGCTGAATTTTAAATATATCTGAATTTGATTTGTACTGCCCTTCTAGCCGTACTTCGGGCCCCTCATAGTTTGTGCTGATCTTGGGATCAGTAACTGAAGTCAGCTAATCAACTTCTATTTCTTTACAAACATCTAGTTAGATCATGTTATCCGACTAGAAAGGATAAATTGTTCTATAACATTATCTTGGACATAATCCAAAAATTCAAATGGTACACTAAATCTTCTTTATTTTTATTTTTATTTTTATTTTTTTTAAACAAAACCACCAACTTCCATTCATCCAAATCAGTTCTCAAAATGTTTACACTATCAAGGGGAAGATTTTATAAGTTAATTCTGCCAATGTATGAGCTGAACCATTGGCATCCATAGAGCATATGCACTTGACAATTCGGTAAAAGATGCTATCAACTCCTTTATGCTGTAGATGAGGTACAAAATGATTGCACAGCAGTTGCAGCATTATGGTAATCGAGCTCCACCGAGAGAGGTCAATTCCGATCTCAGGCGCAAGCTTTACCTCTTCAAGAATGGACGAGCATTCGCCAATAGTAGAGAATCTTCTTGTCATCGATTTGGAACCAGCAGCAGTAACGTCCCCTTTATCATTCAGGCAAATCATCCCAACTCCAATAAAGTGCCAACACTCTTTTATCGCTACAACACTCATTTTCAGAAGTCTTGTTAGAGTTGGTTGCCATTTTCTAGACCCACCACATTATCAAAGACTTTGCTCCTACCTCCATCAACTAGTAGATCTGTTCCTGAAACTCAATGATAAAGTCAGTAGCCTTCTCCAATGATGATACTCATTGCCTCTACAGCAAAAAAACTACCCGAGCCTTCAGTGAAAATCACCCATATTCCAATTGGCATGAAAATCTTTTGAATCAACCCCCATAACAATTTTCCACTATTTCTTTATAGAAATGTTAATAACGAATTAGATAGAACTAGCTTCAACAAAGTATTGCTTAAATAAGCTCCATTTGATAATGTATGTAACACCTTAAAACTTGTCCCAAAGGTTACTCAAATAATTCTTTTAGCCATCATAAAACTTGATTTACACATTGTAATACAAAAATAAGAAAAAGAAGAAAAACTTAGTGGAATATCGTTGAAAATTCAAATAGATATGGGACAGAAAGTTTTTCTAAAAAACTTGTTCACGAAAATATTATTTCGATTTAAAACACCGCAAGTATACGGTTCGCAACAGGTAATAAAGTAGATGTTGAATCCAAGTATCGTCCCACGGAGATTGATTTAATTCAATTTCAAGTACCGCAACCTTAATCGAGACAATAAATATGAGAATGTTTGTTGTGATGAAATTATAACTAAAATAAACTATGTATGCAATTATGAATTAATTAAATGAAAATAAATGCAAAATGATATTTGAATGCAAGTTTGATGAGATTAATGAATGAGAAACACACTAAGATCACGAATTTACATGCTAATCCTAATTCTACAAATTGACCACACATTTGAAGTTTGAAGAATCAATGTTCCTATTTTATCCAGCAATCTCTCTCGAGTAATGTTGAATATACTCTCATATATGACCTGACTATACCTCTATAATGGACGCTAATATACAAGAATGCATAAAATCTTGTGAAAACTTAGATATTCACGCAGGGCATAGCGGTATATCTATATCCTGATGCGAAACCCCGTAGTAATGGAAACTACGAAACCCACAACTAGATTGATGCGGAACCCAAGAACGCCAATACTAATCCGGTTTTGGATCTTGAACCCCAATAATCGAACCACGAAACCTTAGATTAGCGAAGAATCTGAAACCCCTTAATTACAATCAATGAAACCCACAATCCGACGTCAAGAACACCACAAGAAATCGATTCTTGATAAGTTCTAAGTTTGTCCGATGAAAAACAATTGATTGAAAGAAAATTTCTCTCTCTGTATTAATTTCAACAAAAGTTTTTTTACATAATGAAAAGAGTTTCCTATTTATACTATGGCATAAAAAAGTCCAAATTAATCAAAATATGGTAATATTTTGATTTCACAAGAGTTCTACCAACATTAGAAGATTCGGCAAAAATTAAAAAAAAAACGAATTTTTTCCCATTTTTTGATCTATGCGGCCGCATAGATCATTTCTATGCGGTCGCATAGATCACTCCAGTCAGCCACATGTAGTTTCGGTGGCCTTCTATGCGGCCGCATAGGCCGTTGAGCCTGCGGTCGCATAGACCAACTCCGTGCCGCCTTCGTCCGCTTTTATCTCATTGATCCAAGTTCCTTCGGCCTTCGACCCCAACATGAAACTTGTTCCATTTGACCTCCCGAACTATGCGGCCGCATAGATCAAAAAATGGGAAAAATTCGTTTTTTTTTTAATTTTTGCCGAATCTTCTAATGTTGGTAGAACTCTTGTGAAATCAAAATATTACCATATTTTGATTAATTTGGACTTTTTTATGCCATAGTATAAATAGGAAACTCTTTTCATTATGTAAAAAAACTTTTGCTGAAATTAATATAGAGAGAGAAATTTTCTTTCAATCAATTGTTCTTCATTGGACAAACTTAGAATTTATCAAGAATCGATTTCTTGTGGCGTTCTTGACGTCGGATTGTGGGTTTCATTGATTGTAATCAAGGGGTTTCAGATTCTTCGCTAATCTTAGGTTTCGTGGTTCGATTATTGGGGTTCAAGATCCAAAACCGAATTAGTATTGACGTTCTTGGGTTCCGCATCAATCTAGTTGTGGGTTTCGTAGTTTCCATTGCTACGGGGTTCGTATCAGTTGGTATCAGAGCTTTGACTCCAATTTAATCAGGTTATATCTTTGTTTTTTTTTAATTCCTTTAAATTCCTTGTGTTCTTGTGTCCAGAAGCTTTTCTTGATTCTTTGATCCAAAAAGTGTCAAAAAGAATCTTCATATTCTGTTTCCCGGGGTCAATTTTCGCCCAAATTCGTTTTCGTTTTCTGCGTTGGTTTTGTTATTGAATTCCGAATCATAAAAAAAAAGTTACTGTTCATCCGTACGGTACTGTTCATCCGTATAGTTATAAAAAAAATTGTTACATATTATTGATCTGTCAAATACCAACAATTCTTTTATTCAATATGGTTTCTCAGTTGCCTGGACACATTGATTCATTCCACTCCTTCAATTCAAAGTCAAAGTTTTAGAAGTTTCCTTGAGTCCTTTTGTTACAATTCTTTGAATCACATCCGGTTTGAGATTTCTACAAGATTGATTGATTGATTAAGTTCGTTGATTGTCCTTAGAAGCAATTGTTGAAAAAACTGAGTGGTAAAAGGCAGAGAGGTGAGCTCAATAGAGGGTAAAAGCCATTGTGTGTTTCCGAGTGACTTTGGTGAGGCAGTTAAATAAAATTTTAGTGTTAGGATGTCAGAAAGGGCAGAATCAAACTCAAGCCAACAAGGCAACAATAATAACGCATCGGAGGATTTGGTGCAAATGTTTCAAAGGGCGTTTGGAGATATGAGAGAACGATTGGAGAAGCAAGAGGCTTGGATGAATAGGTTAGATACATCGGTGGCCAATCTTAGTCGGGGGCATCGAGTGGATGTGTCCAATGTCAGAGGACCGGATAGATGGGAGCCTAGGAGGGAAAAGCGAGAAGAGTATGGATATGGGAGTGAACTGGGCGAAGATGAATTTCACGGTGTTGAGATGGGAAGGATGAGAAATAGAGGCGATAGGTTCGACAGACGGGGTCGGAATGATCGCGGGGAGGAGTTGGATGGATATCTAGGAAATATAAAGATGACCATTCCTTCATTCAAAGGAAGGAGTGATCCCGAAGCATATCTGGAGTGGGAGAGAAAGGTTGAGATGATCTTCGAATGTTATACTTATTCGGAGGAGAAGAAGGTGAAGTTAGCGATTTTAGAGTTCAGTGACTATGCCATTTCATGGTGGGACCAAGTGGTTACTTCACAACGTAGGAGTGGGGGAAGACCAATTAGCACTTGGGAAGAATTGAAGTCATTGATGAGAAAGAGGTTTGTTCCTAGCCACTATTACCGAGATATCCATCAAAAACTACAAGGCCTATATCAAGGGTCGAAAGTGTAGAAGATTACCATAAGGAGATGGAAATACTCATGATTAGGGCTAATGTGGTGGAGGATCGAGAGGCTACCATGGCACGATTTTTGAATGGTTTGAATAGGGAAATTGCCAATGTAGTAGAGTTGCAACATTATGTGGAGTTGGAAGACATGTTGCATGTGGCTATGAAGGTGGAGAGGCAGTTGAAGAGAAAAGGGACAACTAGGCAACCGATAGGAACTTCGAGTGCAAATCCATCTTGGAAACCGGGATGGAACAACAACAACAACAACAATAAGGTTGATAAAGCTGTACCTAAGGGTAGGAATGAATGGCAAAAAGGGAAAGATGAGAGTGCTAGCAAAACAGCACCCAAAACTGATTCACAACCATCAAGAAATCGAGACATCAAGTGTTTCAAATGTTTGGGGTCCGGGCACATCGCTTCTCAATGCCCAAATAAACGGGTAATGGCATTGTTGGATAATGGAGAAGTGGTGAGTGAAAGTGAAGGCGAGTATGATGACATGCCTGCATTGGAGGACGTTGAAAAGGAAGAAAAATTGGAGTTTGCTGTTGGAGAATCGTTGGTGTCACGGAGAGCTCTTAACACTCAAGTCAAAGTGGATGATTCGGAGCAGCAGCGAGAAAATATCTTCCATACACGTTACGTCAACGATAAGGTATGTAGCATGATAATTGATGGTGGGAGTTGCACGAATGTAGCTAGCACAACTATAGTTGAGAAACTAGGACTAGCATTGTTAAGACATCCTAGGCCTTATAAGTTACAATGGTTGAATGATAGTGGAGAAGTTAAGGTGAATCGCAGGGTCTTAATTAATTTTTCGATTGGAAGTTACAGTGACAAAGTAGTTTGTGATGTGGTGCCTATGCATGTGG